CACGAACACTGGCAAATTAAATTGTATTGCATACGAATTTAATGTTAGAGGATACTAATCGACTCTAAAAACCTCGATGTTTAAAAACATCGATAGTTTTTTGTCGATGTATTTTAAACATCGATGTTTTGTTATCGATGTCGCATCACTAGTCCCGCCGCGTCCCAGCACGATCCACTGCGTCCCATCGTCTTCCGACCCGACCCGACCCGAACGACAAAACGCCGAACCGACCCGCCGCGTCCCTCCGCGTTCCGCCATGACCCGACACACTTTATCGAAATCCACATTTTCCCCGCCCCGCCCAGCTCCATTCCTCTGCCTTGCTTGCCCGCCCCGCCCCGCCCCCGCCCCGCCCGCCCCGTCACGCCCCACTCTACCTTGCATTGCCGCGCCGCACCCTTGCTTGCTCGCGTCGCGTCTCTTCTAATCTCTGTTGGCTCTCGCGCGTTTTGCACACGTGCGGGATACCTGTAGCGTCTGCTCGTATCGCTGGCGAATGTCCTTCGATGGAGTTTTGCAGAAAGCACACCCTTTTATTTGGGAAGGACCCAAACATCAAACAAATGATAGGTTTGAAATTTTATATTCGTATCTCTTACTTGAAGAATATAGAAAGAAGATAAAGCTTTAATAAATCTTCATTTAATACTAGTTTTCGCAGTAGAAATGACTTTTACTGGTGCATTTTTGATATTGAATATCATCAACATTACATTTAATGAGTTCTTGCGATATTTTAATCATAACATTTTTTTAATTCCAAAATGTATTTATCAGAGTTGATTGTCAATGATAAAGAAACTTCTTAGTTGCGTTTATTTTGACACTTTTATTTGATATGTATATTTAAAAGACTCCAAAAAATGTAACATTGAGCTACATTTTCCAAATTATTAAAATGTATTAATATTTCACTGTGGATTAATTTTAATGATTTTTTCTTATTTTCTTTGTCAATTTCAGTATAGGGGGAACTGGAAGCTACAGAATCGCTGATTGTATGAGTTCGTCATTTGTTTGTCTCAAAAGGGATGTACACTGGTAGGAGGATGGTAGACATAGGGTTCTATTTGGTTATTAATGTGCTCCAAGCACGATTTATTTTATTAACTAAATAGTTTTTGAATTATATATAGAAATGAATACATCGACCCTTACGTATTGTCGTCGTGTGAAAAATAGCTTTACCATCTTTTCACTTCCGTCTACTGCTGGGTGCACCCTCCTAAATCTGTCTTCGCTCTGTTTGAGATTTTTTGCTGCGCTGTGATTTGCACTTGAACGCACTCTTTGCGAGCAGATTTCAACAAACAGATGGAAGGCACCACGCCCCATAAGTCGACACATTTCTGCGCTATAAATTACGAGTGCTATGTGAGCGTGCAAATGTCAATATAGCTTCTGATATACGTACTCGCTTGGAAGATACCGTTGATATTAATGTATTATATAATTTCATCATATTTTTGAAGTTTAAATATATTTTGACGTATGATTGCAAATGAGGGAAATGGTGAGAGAAAGACAGTCACAATATATTTTCAAAATTTTTATTTTATAAAGATTATGTGATTTAAATTATTTCTAATATAGTTTATTATACCATTGAGTTACCCACAAGTTAAAATACTCAACATTCAAAGAAAATGATTAATTGGTCTTTTCCGCTTGATGTTGGACTTGTTCGCTTCGACTGAGAAAGATGTCTGTGATGTTAAGGAAATTCTGAGTACTTGGTTTTTTCATTTGCTGGAACCTATTCCTCACATTTGTACGAATAGTAAGGAAGCTCTACCATTTTACATTCCATTTTCAGATAAAGAAGTAGATGATTACTTTGAACACATTAAATTGTCATAACTAATAACTTTTTGCATATAAGTAAATTTATAACACTCATGTTGAATTTAGTTTCATTCATTAGTTTCTAGAGTCAACATGTTGCAAACCATTCAGTCATGTCCAGTTGTCCTAGTTGTCTATGTGAGCAATACCTGAAAATTCTGTTCCTTGTTCAGAGATATCCTGTTCCAAGATATTCTTTTGAGTTTATTATTATTATTATTATTATTATTATTATTATTATTATTATTGCAAGCAGGACAGCAAATGCGTCGAACAACGCCTCTGCCTGGATTTCAAACCTCGAGGATGGTCGTCTGCATGGCTTTATTCCTTCAATTCTAAGCAGATGCACAAAGAACTGAAGCACTGGATCATGGACGGGAAGCGTTCCTTCCCTCCTGCCCCGTTCTCATCCCGCCCCATAGCGGTGGATAAAGATTGATTCCCGTTCACATGTGGCACATGGGGCATTATCTCGAAAGACTCAACGGGTCGAGATAGAGCGACAACTGTTGCCATCGCCGCGTCTCTGATCGGAAGGTCCTAGGGTTTCACACTAGCGGATTTTCCACAGTATTTAGATAGCTGGGTCGTACTCAGCTCCTGTCTGGAGGGGAACCCTAGTGGACAGCTGCTCTGATCGGGAGTTTTCCGTTATTATCTGAGAAATTATCTGCGTAAATACGAATTTAACAGATACTTTACGCAGATACTTATTTGCACTATGGTAAGATTAGAGGCCCCACCCGGATTCTAGAGATTAAGATAATTTATAAGGCGTCGCCTTTACACGTGTGTAATTCATGCCCTGCACGTCACTCATGTACGAGTATTCCACATAGCTCATAGATTCGTTGCAGGATGTGAAGTAAAAGCACTTCAATAGTTGAATCACGCGCGGGCTTTATCAACTGCTCCGTATCTGTCCAGTTCCCACGCCCGCGCTTCGAGTGTCGCCAAAATAGGAGCTGCGGTAAGCAATTTCGCAGTCTCTCGGCCGGAAAGACTTCGAGGAATCCTTCTTACGATCGCCAAACTTTGCTCAAGACCCGGCTCCGTGAAAACGAAGGGAAATGAACCAAAGAGGATATGTGTCTGGAAGTTGATGCTCGTTAATCGGGAAGTGTCAACTTCCACGCTTGATTCTCATTGTGGAAAAAAACCTATTATATCTCGCCTGTTATACCTTTAGATGTAACCGTTGCAAAAAAAACTTGGGAATATCTGTAAGAAATGCAATTTTTTAATGCAAACTAAGGCTGAAACATGGCGCCCGTCCATCACACAAATGTTTTCATATTCGCCAAAAAGTAGTTTTATGAAAACTACTACGGTCATATTTCACATTGTTACTTTTTAATAGAGTTAGGCTTTATGTTTGTTTGTTCAATAATTGCAAACAAACGCTTTGTTATAGTTTTCAATTAAAGATTTTTGAAGAAATTTAAACTACATTCTCTCCATCATATTTACATATTTTAGTATCATACACGTGTTTTCATATACCAGGAAGATAATACGAGTATTTCTGCAAATGTAAATATTAATTTTTCATATGTTGCATATTTATTGCTTTTAGAGTTACTTTTGTGAGATAATGATTTAAAATTTATTTTAACAACACTGAAGTCAAATTTACTATTTTTTTCTTCAATATACGAGGATTCTTTATTTGAAATACATGAATGGTCGGACGTAATCATAATCATGATCGGAATTGATGCTATCACACATTGTATCAAAACATTACACACAATTTTGAGATAGATGGGATACTTAAAATAATGTTCCGCATCCTTAAACTTCGGAAACAAGCACTTACGACCAAAATATTCAAAACAATTCACTTCTAAAAATAGTAGAAAATGCTCCAATATTTTTGTACTTATCTCAAGAAGCGTAGATATATTTTTTGGGGTACGGGTCCTTCAGCTTTCTCCTTTACGCTTTTATGTCAATTCCATCTTCTACATTCTGAATAGTTTGAAAATTATTTAAAAGAGTTTGTTTTAATTAATTTGCACAATTTTCTTTCAATTTTAGTTCATTAATCTTATTTCTCATTTTGATTATTTTAATCCACATGCGTGTTCTTTTCGTGTACTTGATATATTAAATCTCAATTTAGAATATGTTAAACCTATTGTCTGACTTGTGTTCACAAAACACAAGCGTAGTTACAGAAAAACTTATGTGTAGTAACTACTAAATGTAAGAGTCGTATTTCTGCATATTATTGATAAAATACAGTGTTTTTTCAGGAAGTTCCTGCCCTGACAAAAAAATAACTGAATTGAACAAATAAGCGTTTTTCATACATTTTGCCGGTTTTATTTAAAATGATTATCTTTTCCAATGAAACTGAAAATTGTCCTTAAACTCGTATATACGTTTAAGAATGTTGAGTTAGGATTTTCTCCAACAATGTTTTCTCGCAAAAAACGTACCTACAATTTTTGTAATATGGGAGGGAGACCCTTGAACCTTCCTTCCCTGAGGAGCGCAAGTTCTCGTGGAAGAGGTAGAAAAGCAATGGTCGAGAGTGGCGGAGATTAGGAAGGTGTGAAAAGAACTGAACTATAAATGAGATTATTTCAGTCATATAATGTAATAATGAATAATAATTTATAAAAATAATTATGAAATAAATCAAGATTTGTTCGTCAATATTGATGTAAGGACTTCTCGAAACACGCAGCCATTCAAAAGACAGGGTAGTGCAAGACATTGCATTATTCATCTCGTTACCACTCGTATTTGACGAATTTTCAAAATTTCATAGGACTAAATGAAACTAGAGACTATGCGGCATTTATAAATGCTCTGCCCTATTCTAACAAAATAATTAAAAAATAGCTATCATTTTTCATAAAATTTTGAAAATATCACAGAGCCTTCATGTAAAGTACTCACAAGAATTATAACATTTTAATGTTCCCCGAAACAGCACAACTATACATTAGTGTTGACGTCTTTATCAAGTTACATTTGTGTAATTTTAGAAAAATCCAATTAATACATCAAAGGAAAAAAGCAATCGCGAGCCACGTGCGTCGGCTGTCGGCGGTAAGGCGCGGGCGCCGAGGAGGGGGCTCGGAAGGCGATAAGCGCCTTAAAGCGGCGCGCGCGCGGGCGGCCGGCCAGACGCGACCATGCGGCCGACTGCTCTAGTGCTGGTGGCGCTGGCGGCGGCGCTGGCGGCGGCGGCGGCGGCGGGAGGGCGTGGCGGCGAGGGCCGACGGCCGGAGGCGCGCGTGCGGCAGGGGCGGCTGCGCGGCGAGTGGCTGGAGACGGCGCGGCGCCGCGTGCGCTACGCCTCCTTCCGCGCTATTCCCTACGCCGCCCCGCCGCTCGGCCCGCTGCGCTTCAAGGTGAGCCCTCTTCGCTTCGCTCGCGCCGCTTGCCTTGCACGGCAGCAATCAAAACACATCTTCACTGGCGCCAAGTAGAAACTAGTTTCCGTCGGAGACGAGAACTTCCGGCCGTGATTTTCTCCAAAAAATTTAAATATATGACCAAAGCAGGTGAAGACTCATCACAGGAAATACCTCCAACTCCTGAGAAAATTAGAACGCAAATTATTGAGAACGTTGCAAAGGCATGACTGATTCTCCAGAGATTCGCATTGCTTTATAAAATCTAGTGACCGATTTCGGAACTATACTAGTTCCCACTCTGCCCGCGTTTTTTTATTTCATCGTTCAAGAAATGTTGCGCGAGTAATACTCACTATTCCACTCGTGAAATTGAAACCAATACTTAAACAGTAAGTGCTGGTATTACTTTCACAAATATGTATCACCTAAATTATGATTGCATGCATTACGGTTTATTGATGAAGATTCCAAATCAAATTTTAAGACAATCACTTTTCTTGAGGCAGTAACATATTTAAAAAAATGAATTGTAATAATTTATTCCATCAATTCCAATCAATATTATGAGGGAGTTCCGATTTTCAGTTTGACGGTGCTTTGATTAGAATTACTCAAATGTCAAATAAATTATCAATAGAAACCCTAAAAACTTGGATTCTTAAATATTCCTCTCGTTTTAATAATCTTTTACGTCTTTACCAGCCATGTACTTCAACACCCTTGATATATAAGTAAATATTTTCCACCCGTTAAATATAGAATTCCTTTTACATCCTTCGTAATTACATACGTTATCTTTCTAATTATTTTATAGTTTTTCAAATTGTTACAAAATCACGCTAAATAGCCTTTCCTGGATAACCTTACATCTAATTTCTATTAACTTTATTTCAAGCATTGTTATTGCACTGTAGTTTGTATATTATCCACAAGTTTTGTTTTTATTTGTGTCTTTCAAACCTTTGAAAGTCGCAATTATGTCAAGCAAGAGAGTATTTTTTCTGGAAGCGAGCCAACGCTTCGTCCTTCGGAGACTCTCGCGGGGCGCGCTCGTGCACGGCGCGCTCGTGCGCTCGCCGCCTCTTCGGAGAGTCGCTTGTCATTTGGCCAAACATCTTGGGAGTTGCGGTGATTCCCAGCCGTTGTGGGGCGCCCCGGCTTACCTTTCGGGAGACACTTCACCTCGCGGTTTGCTCTTCTGTATATATTTGTCAGCGAAACATATATTATTCTCTGGACATTATTAAATATAGCTCACATTTTACACTTATATTTTTTGTGAGATGTCGGGGATTGCACTTTATTTTTATGAGAAGATTCAGCTTCTGAAATACATTTTATTTATATACTTTAAATTTAAAAGAATTAAATGTATATTTAAAAGAAGAGAGCCAGTTATACTTACCACTCTAAACGGAAATATATGGACATTTAATTAATTGACTTAAATAAATTTATTTTCAATCATTAATCCAATCAGGTCTTGAAATATATTTACTTTTTATTCTATTAATATAATATTACCTTATTCTATGTTGGAGTTTTGGGCTCAAAAGACTGCGACTTAGTAGAGCGATCGTCTCGTACACTGAAGGTATGTTGACACACAGAAATGTTAAAAACGTGTGAATTCGTCCAGAAGGCTCAATCGTTATCTTCCTCGTTTATCTGTGTCGAGATTTGCTGCATACTAGTGGACTATTGAGCTGAAAATCACTGCTTTCTCTGTCAATCACAACTTGGTACCGTACCATGATAGTATGTCTTCAATGACTTTGATTGGGACTCCGTTTCCTTCTGAACTACACCTACCAGGGGCGCTAGGATACGCGACCCGATGACGGACACTAGCTCTATTGCTGCGTCGAACTCATTGTTGAGGAGAATTCTAGGAGCCGGCTGCTTTGATCGGTAGACTTTACCGTTCGATGCCAGACGAATGCCGCAGCAGTGTCGTAAGAAACGGGTCTCGGGCCATGCGCGATCTTCCCTTCCTTAACCTCCCCTCTTCCCTTAAACACACAAATGCGCTACTCCACTACACATGTCTGGAGCTTAGAGCGTATGCTGACTAGGGCAGTGCCACGCGGTGGTAGATACCTGGAAGGGGAAAGCCGACGTGTATGTCGGCGCCGGATCTCGTGTTCCAGCGCGGGGGAAATAGCGCCCCCTCTCGAGATGTGCGATTGATTACTTCGAGTTCACGGGCACCTCAACTGCTAGAATTATTAGTCCTTATGTATAGTGCATGTTTTAGCACTTTTAGGAGGTGGCGGGGTTGGGTTTTCCCTCGTCCAGGTATCTCCCAAAGAGGGACACCGCCCCAGCCAGGAAAAGCCCGACTGGTCTCCCGACAGTTGTGGTAGTGTAGTGCACGTGGGTGTAAGTGTGAAAGGTAAGAATACAGTAAGGAACACGTGGCCCTAGCCCGCTTGTTAGGGCGCTGCTCGGGCATTCGCCCGGTGCTGATCGAAGCAAGCACGGATCAGAGCAGCTAGCATTCTCCTTCGGCCAGTTGCTGAGTGCGACCTAGCTGGAGGCGTGCGCGTGCGCGTGCGCAGGACCCGCGCCCGGCGGCGCGGTGGGCGGGCGTGCGCGAGGCGACGGCCTGGGGCGCCGAGTGCACGCAGCTGGAGAACGGCCGGCCCAAGGGCGCCGAGGACTGCCTCTTCCTGAACGTGTTCGTGCCGCCCGGCGCGGGCGCCGCCTCCGCCGCAGGGCCGCTGCCCGTGCTCGTCTACTTCCCCGGCGGCGCCTTCGTGCGCGGCTCCAGCAACCGCTACGGCCCCGACTACTTCATGGAGGCCGGCGGCGCGCTGCTCGTCACCGTCAACTACCGCCTCGGCGTCTTCGGTCAGCACTCCGCCTCTTTTCTTCTCATTCGCATTTCCTCCTCCTCTTCTCTTACTTTCTTCACTTATTTCCTCCGACTTCTTCAACTGAATCTTTATCTTGTTCTTCTTTCTGTTCTTCTCAAACAATTACCTCTTTCATGAACCATGTAATTTAACTACCTATAAGTGATAAATATGACGTTAATATTTCTACCTCTTCCAGAATATCTTTCAATAAATCGTTTGATTCTCATCAAGGTATTATTACACCCGCATAAATATTTCTAAGTGACCATTTTTTCTTGTCCAACTTCTGTTTTGGTTACCACCCTCTAGTTAACGTCAGATTTCCAAAAACGTCAAAAAGGCAACATATATTAAATTCAAATATATTGGCCAATTTCTATTTTATAATTTTTTTAAAAATAACCATAGAGATTTTTCTGTGTTCGAATGGAAACATTTCTCAGGTAAAACGAAGCATTTTCAGTCCTGACAGCAAAAGCACGTGCCCACTGTTAAGTACCTGACGTTCCCGCAACAACGCCCGCGACAGTTTGTATCGCCAATAACTAAATCAGCTGCAGCTGCAATTAAGCTAACCAAACGTCACTGTCAGTTTCTCTCTTAAGGTAGTTTAATTAATCGCACCACAAGTTCTAAACACAAAACAAGTTTATTATTCATGAGTTCATACATCTAGCATACTATTAACATAATACTGGAATAATATTCTAGGAAGCACATCTTGTCGAAACCAAATTTTTAGATTGCAGAAAAAATGTGCGAATAATAAACACATGCCACCCTCATGGGGGGTTCCATTTTGTTAGCAATACTGTAAAACAAAATCTGTAGTCTGTTCACCGATGCAAATAAGTTTTCTCGAGAGCGAAAATTTCTAGTTTTTCAGAATTTTCTAACCTCGCTTTGTATGAAATTTGTTTGGGGGGAAGAAGGGGGGAAAGGTGCTCAAGAAAACGTGCGCAGATTTTTACTTCTCGTCCATACTTCACCCACAGTTTTTTGTGTTTGAGCGAAAGTAAATCAAATTAAATTCAAGCCTCAACCTTAAATTTACGATCGATCCTCAAAAAGCTATTTGTATTGGTTGAAGTCGAAAAACTACACTAGCTGTTCCCAAAGGAAACGGTATCGATCCCCCGAGGTTCAATAACGTTTTAAAGGGGTTGATGGTAATCAAGTGGTTGATTGGGGTCGGTCCAAATACAAACCAATGACAAATTGGTATAATAAAGATAAAGATCCCATTGATTACAAAAATATTTATGAATTTTATTATCATGTTTACTTTAATAAATCTTCCAAATAATATTACATTACAAATTCCTCACGTTTTTTAATTTCACACTATTAAAACAAAACATGAGCACAATATATAATCTATGATTTTGTTTTTGAAAACTTGTTTATATTTGTAAGTATAAGAGTACAAAACATTTTAGTTCAAATTTGAAAGTACGAGTATAAAAAATTAAAATATCTAATAATTTCCCACAAGCTTGTTCAAACCTATTAGTCCAATTGTTATCTTAAAGTCGGTTACGTTCTATTATTTGTATTATGATAATTTTGTATCCTGTATATTGCAGAAAAAATTAAGGGAGTCGGTGAAGCAAGCCATTGTTTTAAAACGGTTCGAAGGCAGAACAAATTTTGAGAACCCCTAGACTCTACATGCAATGCGGAATAAATTCGGGTCCATTGGAAAGACAAAAAAAGAGCCTGGGAAATGATATCTCTCGTTTTATCTTTCCCAGCTACTTACTTTGCCACAGAATGTCCTCTCAGGTGCATGATAACGCTTCTTAGTTTTGATAAGACAACTAAAGTTTAGTAAATGGAGAGAAAAATGAAGTAAATCGTAGTAATAATAGGGGAACGACAGCAGAAACGTCTCATCGATCTGCAGGGATTTCTGCATTTATATAGAGGGGCTACATCATATTTAACGTAGGATTTTCGTAGCTTTCCTTTAACGTTAAACCATTTAACCTTAGTACAGTGTCAAATACGACACGTGCCGCATATTTATGTCTGTGCATGTGTAGGCGGAAAGGAAAGCAATTCACGAAAGTTTGTCCCCAACTGTCATAATTTGACTCTTTGTCGAGTGTTAGGAGATTGTTCAATCAAGGCATTTTCCTGTTATTTTAACAATTAAACTTATTCACACTTCGATGTCATATTTGATAGTATCTTTCTGGTTTGCGGAATAAAAATATTTATCTTTTACTTCTAGGCTGTCCGGGTGACGCCGCGTCGTTGGCAGATGGGCCGACGTTTCGCCTGTCATGTCGCAGGCTTCTTCAGGGTAGTGACGTCGGCCTATCTGCCAACGACGCGGCGTCACCCGGACAGCCTAGAAGTAATGGACTTGAGCCGCGGAAGCCTACGTGAACAAATATTTATCTTGTCAGACTCACGAATCTACAATTCATAGAAAATCTGAAACGATCTTTTGTGATTAGAAGATTCAAGAGATGAAATACGGGCTCTGATAGTTCTATCGTCGGCAATCTCTGACTGGAAGAATCTTGAGTTGAAGTCCCATCAAGTGGAGGGTTTTCGACTTGACACTGTGAAGTAGGTCGAATTCAGCCGCTGTGCTGACTGGCGATCCCAACGGCCGGGTGCTCTGATAGGTAGTTTCGTTTTGATGGGAGAAAACTACCGATCAGAGCAGCCGGCCGCTGGAGTTCTCCTGCACCCAGCGGATGGATTCCACCGAGGTAGTGTGGAAAGTGCTGCCACCGTCGAGACTAGAACCCCAGTACGTCCCGGGCAGATTCGCTGCAGAGCCAGTTTGAGCCAAACTCATCTTGAGGGCATGTCGTTAGTGTTGGCAAATTTTACTCGTACATCGGTACATAGATATTTTGATAAATCACCAAAAGGTTTTCGATGTCAATGAAAACATCGATGTTTAAATATCGATGTTTTAAATTTGGTGAAACAGATGGTATTTTCCTATCCTGTTTCCATTTTTAAAATAATACTTAATTAAATGAGTTATAGTTTATTATTTGGTCACCTACAAGAAAATCGTTCATAATAATGTTTATTGAATGTAAAGAATGAAATGAAAAAAGGACATTGTTTTTATGCAATTTTTCTGTTTATTCACTTTCATTCATTAATCATCGAAGTAATATGTCCTGGCTCTAATGTGAAACACAACACGTCAATGTTAGTTTCAAGTGTATTCTGCCTTAAATTTGACTGTCACCTTAACTTTCTAATCAATGTTCTACGTACTCAAGGTTGAAAGTACAGTTTAATAATTTTACCAGGTCTAAAAAAAAAAAGTTAACAACACTGGAGAAAAGTTGGGAATAGCGATCAGTTTCGTTCCGCGTGGGGATCGCCGACAGTGCCAGTTGTCAGCGGCTGTTGATTGCAAATAGTTTGAAAAAGAAAGTGCTAGAAATTGCATGTGTGTGGCGAGCAGGGTTCCTGAGCCTGGGCACGGCGGACGTGCCGGGCAACGCCGCGCTCAAGGACCAGAACCTGGCGCTGCGCTGGGTGCGCGAGAACATCGCGGCGTTCGGCGGCGACCCGGCGCGCGTCACCATCTTCGGGCAGAGCGCCGGCGGCGCGTCGGTGCACGCGCACGTGCTGTCGCCCCTGTCGGCCGGGCTGTTCGGCGCCGCCGTCTCCATCAGCGGCAGCATGCTGGCGCAGTGGGCGCTGCCGCGCAACGCCGCCCTGCAGCGCCAACGCCTGTTGGAGCGCGCGGGCTGCGCCGACGGCCGGCCCGAGGTGTGGGCCGCCTGCCTGCGCACCCTGCCCGCCTACGACCTCGTCAAGGTAGCGCACGCGCACTGCCTCCTCCGGCGGCACCTGCTGCATGCTTACCCGCAGAGTGGCTCAGGGCAGCAGCTGATGTCCACATCAACTGACGGACCGCGCGCGATCTTTCCTACCTCTTTCCGGTCCTATACTTTCCCCTTATACACATACACTAGAAGGTACTATGCAAGCACACATGACGGGCGGCCGGTGGCAGATGCCGACGGTAGGTCGGCGCTGGATCTCGCCAAAGAGCCGGGGAAGATCGACGCCACCTCCCGAGCAAAACATGCACTACACTTACGCAACTAATGACACTAGAAGGTGACGCGCCCGGCCCCACTAACAATAAATCAATCAATCAGTCTCTCATTATAACATGCTTACATAAGCTCCTCTCCCGGCAGAGAGAGGATCGGGTCGTGCTTACTCAGAGATTACATAATGCAGGAGTGTGTGGTCAATGAAATCCATTAGCTTTCTCTCAGAATTCGTTTATTGATTATTCATCAAGATAATTATATATAAAGAATACTACTTTGTTATACCAAACTGTGTTCAGTGAACTTGCATTGCCGGAAATAGCGCTCCTTGCAATGCCGATTCCTAACTTACCGCCGCGGTCTTCGTCATCACAGTCGCCATTTCCAGCCGCAGCTCCAGCCTCGTCGCTCGTCGACTTGCCCTCACGCTCCTCCTTGCCCAAGTCTTCGTTTTTCTTCTCACCTTACGCACCGGGAGAGGTGGCTCAGGGAATCGATTGAAGTTACCTCGGTGCGTCAGACGGAGAGGTCCTAGGTGGGAGTACCGACGGTGATAGGATTTTCGGCTCTAGCTAGATAGCTGGGCCGAGCTCATTCGCTGGAGAACTCTAGCGGATGGCTGCTCTGATCGGTAGTTTTCCGTGGTTTCTCCGATCAGTACCAGGCGAATGCCGGAACAGTACCCTAACAAACGGGCCACGGACCGACCCTTCATCTTCCTTACATGCACACACTAATCATCCATACATGCTATCCTCACCCCTTACATGCACACACTTACACTAACATGCTCTACTACCACATATGCTGGGAGACTGAGCTTAGAGCTTGTTTCGGCTGCCCGCATGCCGTCGGTAGATCGGCGCCGGATCTCGCCTTCCAGATGGGGAAAGACCACCGCCACCGTACATTCACTACAACATTCACTACCCTTGCGGGACTAATGATCTTCGCTGTTGACACGCCCAGAATCACCAACAATCAATCATCAATCTCACCCTACGCCTCCTGGCGCCAGCCCTCGCCTGCTGACTCCCACGTCCTCGGCCTCGCCGCCAGCGCGATTTTGTGCCCGAGCGAGCCCATGGCGGGGCTGCTGAGCGAGGTGGGTGGTCTCAGCAACTTTCCTTGGAAACTTTCCTCGCTCAAACATATTTCTGCTTTTATCTATTGAGCTAAAAACCTTCCACAGAGTTCACATTGCGTTCCGTATCTGTAACATTAAGCATTAAGGGAAATGACGTTTGATCAGCTGGGACGCAGTTATCGTTTGGGAACTTCAATATAAAAAAAATCTGAACTACCGATTGACTGCGCGCATTCCAGCTGATCAAACGTCAATTCGCCAGATGTTTAAATCGGAGAACAGTAGCGTACTGCGCGCGCAGGCACGACGAATTACATGAGGAGGGGAGGAAATATATAAAAGTGTCGCCTCAATTAGCTGCTTCTGCTACATTGCTAAAATTCAATCGCGTCCCTAAACGAGCATAACTAAAGGGGAAAAGAATAAAAGAAAATAATAAGTACATAAAACGATAAATAAGTCAATTAATAAATAATAAATAATAAAATTATAACTAAAATGATACATGAATGTAATGAATGGTCGATTTATCATCGATAACGTCCATTCAAAGATCATTAGGTACTAGAATTGTTCCTCATTCGATCATTGATTTACCCTATTTTTTAAAGGGAATTGTAGCAATTACTGAGACCCAACAATTACTTAAATTCTTACAATACATAATAGCATTTAATAATACTGCATACACATGCCGTCTTGCTTTTCCGCCAGCCATTTTTTTCTTCATTTGAGAGCATACAAAAATTAACCAATAACAATTATTGATTTTATTTTCGTCGGGAGTTTTAGGATGAGAATAATATTGTGCATGCAAAATATACCAAGATATTGTTCCGGAAACTGAAAATAAAAGACACGAAAATCAGATTAAAAAATCTTACAAGTTGCATCGTTTCTTCAGTTTGTTTTCTGTGATGTGTACATTATTCGAAACCAACTTTGAGTTTTACGATGTAAATAGAACTATTGATTTTAAATATTAGTTTCAATTGTACGTATTTGAATGAGGTATTCAATAGTACTTTGCAATTCGTAAAGCAAAAAAGTACTTAACCTAAAACCTTAACTCTAAACGTAAACCGTGCCGTTCAAAGTGCTCGCGCTAAGAATACTGCCATTCACTGGAACGAGTGTGACTCCTTGAACTATACCAATGAGCAAACCAACAGAATAACTTGAAGGAATTGGCTTTTTATTTTACGAGCATGCCGACCTGAACGGCCGAGGTGGCTAAGAGCGTGCCCGTATTGAGTCCCGCCCTGGGCATTGTTGCTTGCGCCTTGTCTCTCGTGTGCGTGCTGTCGCGGAGGGGAGAGGAGCCCGCGTGTGCGTTGCTGTCTCCGGTCGCAACTCCCCCACTTGGGATGGAAAGGGGTAACCGGCGCCTGCATCGCCTGCAACGGTTTCTCGCGCAGGCCGGGGGCTCCGTGGACCTGATGCGCGAGATGCTGCGCGACCAGCAGATCCCGTTCACGCCCGTGGTGGACGGGGCGGTGCCCGGCGCCACGCCCTTCCTGCCCGACCGCCCGCGCCGCCTCATCAGCACGGGCCGCTTCAACCGCGTGCCCTACGTGGCCGGCGTCACCAGCGGGGAGGTGCTGCACTTCATGGCCAGTGAGTCCATTACATTTTTTCTTTTTGCGAAATAAGGGGGGAGTAAAAAGTAGAAAGGGGTAACTACTTTGTGGGCGCGGAGCGGGCGGGGCGGGGCGGGGCGTGCTGGCCGTGAGCGCTTGCGTGTGTGCACAGGCGCGCCCGCCAACACGCCGCAGTTCGTGGAAGAAGGGCTGGCCAACCTGACGCGCCAGTTCAAGGAGCAAATGGTGGCGGCGCTGCCCGCCGGCCTGCCGCTCAACGCCAGCGACCTGGCGCGCGACGTCTACCGGCCCCACTCCCGCTCCGGCCAGCACGTGCTGGAGCGGCTAGTGGAGGTGAGCAGCCGCGCGCGGGGCCGACGCGAGCGCCCTCGCCAAGGGCAGGGCTGGCGGCGGAGCCAGGGGCAGACATGCTCCTCAAAGGCTACTGTTTTCAGAATTTCACTGAATTTATTAACAATAATTAACATACACAGATATCATCACATCCAAAGCAGTAATCTCACTATTAATATAATTATACTTTTTTATTTCGCGTTAAGAAATACAATTTTATTTTCAAAAATATTTATGGCAGTCCGAACTAAGTTTACCATCCCTCGAAATGGTTTCTGGGTCCGTCATTGGCAGCTCACTTTTACCACGGGCGATGGACGGGAGGGCAATAAGTCCCCCCTTCATCAATAGTTTCAAGGGCATCAACATTTTTATTTTTATTTCATGGTTTTTAGTCAAGAACAAGTGGCCCAACCACTGCCGCGAGAATGGTAGAGGTCTAACAACAGAGATAATTGTAGATGGCAGTTGAGTCAGTCTTGCTCTCGTATTAGGTCTCAATTACGTCACTTGTCCTCTCAGTGCCTCTTATTATTACGACATTAATACTACATTCGGACGGTGAAACAGTAGTAAGTGTAAATAAAAACGAATTGCAATCCTTCGTTAGATGAAATAAATGCGCGGTAAAGGAATACCTTAAAAATGCTCCCGTAGAGTTGAGCACAACTGAGTAAAAATAACGTACAGGTGAGCGTACGTACGGGTAGAGAGGCGGACGTAGAGGCGAGTGGAATAACTTAATCTTTTTTTAGTCCATGGCGAACGTTTTTAATAAATGAAAAAAAGATCCTGCTTGAGCTGAAATTTCGCGGAGGACCCTTCCAGCGACGTGCTCCAAGCGTCTCGCTCTGTCGCTCGCAGGCCGCCAACGACGCCTTCTTCGTGTGGCCCGCCGCGCTGTCCACGCGCCTGCAGAGCGCCTTCGAGCCCCGCCAGTACCTCTACTACTTCGACTTGGACGCCGGGCTCGACCTGCGCAAGCCCGCGCTCATGCCCTTTCTCAAGCAGATCGAGGGTGAGTTGAGCTTACTTCCAAAAAGGCCATCCAACACCATTTTGCGAGAAGGGGGAGTATCAAAACTCAGGCTTTACACATTAAATAGGATTCAACGGTTTTCGGATGCCTTTTAATAAAAAAGGAACGCAAATTATTTATCATAATATTTGGCAACGTTCTGGAGAAGCTTTTTGAGAATAGGAGATACATAGGAATAGAAAACAATCGGAAATCAATATATGTTCCTTTGGAAATAAACTCTTCAGTTCCTTTCATTAAAGTACTGCTGAATCTTCTCTTGGGAAATGAGACGTCTCTTTTGTTATGACAAGCCAAATGATACCTGTGTGGGGCTCGTCGACTGAAATTCGTTTCTCATACTTGTCACTGTCATTTCATCTGGTCACTCGCGAGAAACGTTAATTTGAAGTGTGAAATGTTTATTTCACTAGTATTTATTTTGACTTTTTAAATAAAGTTTTAACCTACTTTTATGTCCACTAAGAAAACAGAAGATAGCTACTCGATATCTCCAAAGAATAATTAAGAAAAGGAATAAAAAATGTGATTTGGAGATATAGGAAAAGAAATAGTTTTCTTTATTCCTTTTGTCTTGTACTCACGTCTCCACTAGCGAAAATAGCAGTATAGTACATCTGGTACTGGGGTATTGTGTATAAATGTAGTATACGTATTTAGCTGTGGCGATGTGAAAGGGCTGTGGTGGGTGTGTTCAGGGGTGCCTCACGGCGGGGACCTGTTCTACATGTTCCGCATCCCGGACGCCAACACGACGTTGCCCGAGACGTCCATCGAGATGCGCACTCTGCGGAGCTACGTGCAACTCATCCTCAACGTCGCCATCACGGGGTAAGCGCCGCGACCTGGCCTTCTTCAAAACACTCCGCTACGAAAACCGTGTAGACGGTTTTTACTCATCCACAAAACATACGCAGTTGCGGGCCCTTGCCCCACTGGGGATATTCCTGGAAAGAGAAAAATCCCACCAGTCGACGTGTGTGTCGGTACTGGATATTACGTACAAGTGGGGTAATAATCTAGCCACCGCCAAGAATATAATGTGTACTACACTTATGGGACTAACAGTAATTTTAATTGTTGCGCCCAGAATAACTCAAATCAATCAGTCGACCAAAACATGCTTTGCTGTTCTTGAAATAAAAATTCAGTGATGAAATAATACATTATGCCACTAGTTTACAATGTTCAGCTTTATTGCGTTAGTAGATACGTCTTGAAAACGAGCGATGTAAGGTGCGAGCTTTCAAATTTATTCGAATGCAATAAATCGTATTTATTCGTGCCATAAAATGCTAATACGTCATAATCTGTGCTATAAAATGCCATCTTATGAACAGTTTCTTGCAACGAAAAATATCGTTTACATTGCTGTTATACAAAACAGGCATTTTCTCGGTGATTTACTGTTAGCGAACTTCTACAAACTCTTGATTTTCGTCTACACAGGAAGCCTACGCCGCAGCCCGTAGAGGGCGTCTTATGGCCCCCTTATGACAGCGACGCCGACGGCGCATATCTTAACTTCGGCACAGACCTGCTCTCCGCCAAGACTGCACTGCGCAAGAAGCAGTTAATGGTGTGGGACCTGCTCTCCCTTCTGATCTCCAACAGGCACACTTGAGGCAGGTAACTACACATTCACTCGCAGATATTGCTACACTCTCAGTTGCGATGCAAATGGTGAAAGATGCATGCATTCCGATCCATAGTGCAAAAGAAATCTTTCATATTATTTTACGTTAAAAAGATTTTTGGGCGTGATCCTTATTTTTCCTGAAAGCGGAGTGCCTACATATTGTAAACGAATAATTGTGATGGTTTTATTTTCAGACCCTACCGACAAATGGAGAAGTAATAATTTCAACGACGTAAAATCTCAAAACTGCCGAAGAACTTTGGCGGAAAATCCTCGCTACACCACTTGCGTGTAGTTATATTTTGTATTGAGTTTCTTTAAGTAGTTTCATAAAAAAGCCTTATAGATTAAACATCACGAAAGAGAATATCAGAATAATTCGAGTAAACCACAATAAGCATTTGCTGACCTTTGAGATTTCTTCATTTAGTTTTCTGAATAGCTTACTGCGACATTTTCTGACATTCTTGTTGCCAGCCTTTTTATTCTTGTTACTCGCGAATTAGCTTAGTTAAAAATATATTTGTAGTAAATTACAAATTTACAATGCCTTCATAGGATCCGAGAGATATTAAAGCTTAATGGTGTCTCAATGTAGCGATTTCACTTTTCTGAGTCTAAAGGGAAAGGTTTTTGCGCTGTTTCGTTAGCGCGATATTTTGGATTGGCTGACGAAAAACCTGTCATTAGGACCTTGAAGCACAGCGTAGCGTGTAACAATATCTCGACCATTCTGTACTACTTTTGAACATTGCGCATACGCAAATCGAACTGCACACGCGCGAAACGTCGGTATTGCTGTATGCTACGCCGAGTTTGAACACTAAGAATGACGCTACGCGCATTTTCGGATGTCGCAGAACGCGCACATGCGAATCACGCGCCACCGCAAGTCAGAAGGCTCGGGCCGCGCCCAGTGTTCGGCCGAAGAACATCGCAATCTGCAACGCGTGGATTAGGATGTGGCACGTGGGAAGGAGAAAACAACTGAGACAATCTCAAAGCAATTTGCAGTAAGACATGAAGAATATTCTTTTGGTGGATACGTTGAACGTTATTGTGATATCTACAAGGCGGAAAAGTTGTGATTAATTAAAGTTCAAGTAATGGTAAGAAATCATTTTATACATTTTTAAATTGGTTCTTTTACTTGTTAACATGTGGAAAGGAATGGTGAACTCGAGATACCAGAGCGATCTTTGTCAATAACAATTTGCTATAAGGAGGTGATTGAATTTTTTATTTGTTTAGCTTATATTTACCTTGGAAATGAAATGTGATGCATGTAGACAATAAAAATACTGTTTGGAGCTGCTTTATTTAAAAATACTTTTGTAAGTTATAAAACATGTTTGCTTGTGTTGCTAGGAAAAACATGAGCAACAACATATACATGATAATATAATAACGTTACAAAATTTCTGTAGTCTTAGATTAGCTTGTATAAAAATGTAATAAAATTTGTGTAAAATTTTGATATTTTTATTATTATTATTATTATTATAATTATTATTCTATCGTATTATTAAATTTGTGGAGCAACAGATCAAAATGATGGCTACTAATTCTACAATTCATATCCATTTTATTTAAAGTGAATTCTTTACCTATTTTAAACGTAATTGCACACCAAACTTATGTCTGTTTGGCTGAAGTACGGATAGTACAGCTTAAGGAAGTCATTTATACTGGCTCTTTGTGCCGCTCACGTGAGGCAAAAATCAACAGCTGAGAGGTGGTTAAGTGGTTTTTAAGGGGATGTTTAGGTGTGTATCACTCAAAAAATAGTATCAAACTTTTGCAGATTAACAATATCTTCACAAAAGTTGAAACTTAATTGCCTTTTCAAGTGTATCATTAATGGTGCTATGTTCTTAAAACATAAACAAAACAAAATGGAAATAAAAAAAAAAAAATAAATAAATAAAAAAAATGTGGTTTACGTTAATAAAAAATTCCAAACACATTTTCACTTAAAGCTTGTGGTATGGACGGATAGTAAAAGTCTGAAAAAAAAACAACAAAAAGCTTAAAAATAGTAAATTTATTTTGCCTTTGGTTCATTCCATATACATTCCACATAGTTCAATAAAATAAATTATACTAATTTTTGTGCTTGGAAAAAGAGAAAAATACATGTTAGTTTATTACTGAAAAGAAATAAATTTACAACTGAAATATTAGTAAAAAAATTAAAAAAGAAAGTCCGAAATTGTTTCTAAAGAATTATAGAAAAATAAAAATGCAGTGAAATGCTGCAAAAATGAAAGTTGATTTACCTAGGATTCTTATTAAAATGAACATTACAATACATTTACTGAAATTTTAAATTGTCTTATTTCTTCCTAAGAAAATGATCAGTGCATGATGCAAAATTAATTTGAAAAAATAATAATAAATGTTGTTTAGGCTTGGCGACAAATGCAAAATTATGGATTCCCAAAAACAATAGGCCACTGATATTATTTACTGACATTTGAATGCAGCCTTTTATCTGCAACAGGCATCTGCCTCTATTGCAATGTTTTATTCACTGAATTATTCTCCAGCAAAGCAAAAAAAAAAGGAACTTAATTAATTTGAACAATTTATTAAAAATTTGAGCCAAATTAAATTTGCCCTTTCTCAACAGACAGAGAATGACAAATATAGAATTATTTCTGTTGGTATAAAGGATATAGTACTAGACAAATTCAGTTGCATCTGCATGTGACAGATTAAAATAACAGAGTAATGAAAATCTGACAATTTGTTGACTTTCATTATTGAAATATTTCAATATGTAATTTTAGAAGTGTAGTGTTCTTTGCTTTAGGTTATCCAGAAAAATGTGAGTTACACTCTCAAGTCTTAAGCTGATGCTTGAAGCATACTCACAAAGAGCAATTTCCAAGACTAAAATAATAATTTATTGATATATTTGTTTACCCAAAAGATGTTTAGACACATTTTGATCAAATGTTATTTCTTTAACTTGAACAAATAAAACTATTTTTTTTAAAAAACTTTTCTTGTGCAATGACATGTTTTGGAAGTATTAATATTTCAATATCTTTGTATATTGTAGGGCTTATTTCTATTTACTATTGAAAGTAAAGTTGATTTTCATGCATTTTGGAGACAGCACAATGTAAATGTTAATGGATTCGATTTTAACACGAGTTCATAACTCAGAAAAAATCAAAAGATGGCATATTTATGAACACAAGAAAACGGTTGTGACATTTTTTATACACAACCAAAAATGAATATCATGACTTTGACATTCAAAATGTTTGAAATTTATTTCATTATTAAAATTTGTCTAACCAGCTTGAGCTGACCAACTTGCCAAATATTTCCTTTTTTTTTTTCACAATAGTTTGAAAACATTTGATTTGATGTAATTTCTAAAGTCTTGGTCAAGTTGTGACCAAAGCTGAAGGTAGATATAAAATTTTATGGACAAAGAAGTCAATCAGACGGAAGAGCGGGCCTGATGGCCCAAGTCTCGCCGCGTAAAATAAGGCAAATTCAATTCAATTCAATCTGGATGTGCATCTCAAAGACGACAAGCCAGGTCAAAGCAAAATTCGTGAAAAATTTAACAATGAAAAAAAGATGAGATTTTCCCAAAGTTTTTAATTAATACTGGGAGTTTAAAAACAAGTTTCCTCAATAATGTGGAGAAAATATGTTTTTTCTCGGAAGAAACACATGAGGAACATTCAATTTTTGTACTATAGACAAATTAAATACAAAGTGATTGTACAGAAGTTATTAGATGTGACCAGCTGTTTAAAAAGAGACCAAAAGTTGAATTTTTTAATTAATGAAATTGTATTTTTAAAGCAGTTCATTGCTCTAATAACAAAATGCATTTAAGGTATTAACTCCATAATGTACAGTGTGCCATATACGGTCATATAAAGTACAATCCAAAATTTTGTTTTAAATCTGTAGTCTTGTAGTCTTTTATACTACCTTTTATGATTGTAATGAAAAGAAATAAGCTATCTTTACTATGTTGACATTCAACATTGGATTTTGAGAAAACATCATTAACAATAGAGTTAAAAACTTAAATTTTTTAAAATAATTAAAGTAAGTTTAATTATTTTCAGTTATACATTACAAAGGAGAAAATAATAAGAAAAACATTGCAAAAAATTGGGCAAAAGAGAAATGCAAGTTTTACACTCTGTATGAGAGTTGTCCAACTGGCAGCCAGCATGCCATTGAATGCAGCTCATGAAAGGTTATTAGTCAAAAGTAAAAGTTGCTTGCATCCATGTCTGGTGAGAACATTGTGCACCTAGCACACATGTTCTTTCAACGCTCTCTTTATGTAAAAATAGGTTGTTTAGATTTAAGGATTTTTCCCAATAAATTCAAAACCATCCCAATGTGACTCTGTACGTTGTGCAAGGTACGAGCTGATATCACACGCAGAAGGGTGGGGGGTTCCCCAGATTCAGAGCAGCTGGGAAACTGCCAAGATCAACAGTGCGGGGAAGTGGGGTGTGGATTGCCCAAGTAAAGAAAATATGGCCTGCGACCATATTAAAGGTGTTAGATGTGGCCCTTAAAGCACTGCAAGTTGGGCACCCCTGGACACTTTTGGTCTCTTTCCATGCATATAGAAAAATGAAAATTAATAGTGTGAATTAAGACAACAAATAATCTGTTAAAGAGCTTTAGTGAACCTACTCAAATTCTCTCAGCGATAATAATATAAGTCATCCCATTTCGTTTATCTTCAGCCTTTATGCTGATTGTACTATAGAAAATATATACGGTTCAAAAATATTGAAAGTAGACATTGAAGTGTATAATATTTGTGTATTTTTTCTCCACCTTCAGATATACAGTACATATCCACCTTTCCAAAGTTATTTAAACAGAAAAAAATATTTTGTAAATATCAAATCATTAAATTTGTAATAAAGAAACAGGAGTATTTTGAATACATTTCTTTAAGGGAAAGATGAACACTTATAGCAAAGAAGGTTAACAGAGATTTAATTTACAAAAGATTATGTATTAAAGAGCTTCAAAATTAAGATTCTTTTCAGCTTACTTTCAAATCACAAGTTCTAGGATTTGACTCTCCACAGGATACTAAGTAGTAAGATGCTTTGAAATGCAACTAACTGGCCAAGCAGCAAAAGTAATTTTGCTATTGTTTTCCCCTTACTGATGAGGAAACTTTTGTCATTTATATTAGATATGCAATTATTACTGAGAGTCATTTGCATAACTGTGCTATATTCATTTTATGTACAATTTAAAAACCATTTGTTATGCTGTTGACTATTCTAGTAATTACAGTTTTATGTAATTAATTTCAACTAAACGTTAATGTACATATCCTGCACATACCAGTTTTGAAAATTTGCTTAAAAGCAAGCTCTTATAATTATTTGTATTTCATCAATATTAACATACATTTTGTATAAATAAAATAAATTTCAATAAAATAATAATGACAAAAAATCTTTATATATTACTATAATGTACATCAGAAGTTAATGGCAATTACTATATAAATATAATTATTTTGAGAGTGTTGATGAAGTAAGTAGACAAAATGAGTAATGAAACTTCACAGCACTAAGAATCTATCTTGGGAGGTTATCTGCAGCAATCTGTGACAATCCTCCTGCTGCCTATACTGATAAATGAATATGTAGCATCTTATTGATTAATTTCTAATAGATAACAAAATTGAACTCTTTAAAAAATACTCTTTCAAATCCATTTGGCAATGAATAGAAAGAAAGAAGGAGGGAAAACAATAGTAATGGAGGACTGCACTACCTCTACAAGACAACTGAAAGATATGTTACACTAATGAAGAGGAGAATGAATGTTTCCCAGAATAACCAGACAACTTGTAAAAGAAGGATGCAGGTTCTCAACAAGTGACTCTTGGCACACAGCATTTGCTTCAACATACAGCTGCAGTGGCCGCCTCGGCCAACAGTAATTTCATGTGTGTTCTGCTCCAGTGCAATCCTGATGCACGTACCACTAGAGACCACACGTAAGGAATGAAGAAGTCCTCTGGTTGTTCTTCTTCCACATATTTGAATTTCAGGTCGGGGAACTTACGTAGCCTGTCCCGTGGCCAGCGTGTCACTCCACGCTGAATTGCAGCTTGCACTTCAGAGACCCCGAGGGCTCTGCCACCTACCGAAGTTGCGGCTGATTCTAATTCACTCGAGAAGAACTCCAGGACCTGAAATCACAGTATGTCAGACAAAATTCAAACACACTACTAATAAAAGATGCAAAAGGGGGCATTTACAAAAAAATAATTTTCAGCTAAATATTATCTCAAAATATTATGAAAGTGATGCTCAACTGAAAATTAGAAACCAAACAAATACCTCAAAGATTACAAATGGTATGCCATGAAGATCCATACACAACAATAAAGGAAATGGATGTGAAAACAAGATATTTTATTCAATGAACTGTTTTCTGAACAATGAAAGCATTTTATACTATGTGTGCTTATCTGGTAACTTCTTTGTATGAAAAATTAAGCTCTCCATCGCAGACTTACCATATCAATATTGTGAGTGATGTCCTGAAATGCTGGATGTTGTCGGAAGGGCAGAAACACAGCACGTCTGTGAAGCAGTGTATACACTAGATTGGGATTGTGTGGAAGTTGGTGGCTGAGGCACGAATTAACTATCTCCAGCACCATCCGCAGTACCTCTTCCAACACACCAACATCTTGGCCCTGTGACAAGAGAAAGTATTTGAAAAATTCCTTCCAGGCAATATGTTCTTAACTTTACAAAACCCAAAGATTTAACATCAGGTTTTCAGTTTGATATTTAATACTTAAAAACATTGATTTTTTGTTGTCAGATGCAATGTTGCATCTGACCGAGTGTACATTTTTCAAAGGCTTTGAATTTTTGTCGATTGTCACTAGATGGCAGATTCTTATGACTTTGCTGTTATTTAATCTCTTGAAGTGATTACCGTAATTCTTAGCATTCTAATAGAAAAGGAAAAAAAGAGGCTCTTATTCAGGGTAAAGATTCAATTTTTTTCACTTTAAAGTTACATTAGTTTATCTATAAAAGTCTAAATTAAAAATATTTAAATACAAAAAATTTAGTTAAATTTTTTTTAAAAATTAGGATGATCTGTATTTATGTCAAATACTTGTCATGGTATTTGAAAAGTACTATCTGTATTTTCTTAGAAATCATTGGGTAGACTTCTTTTAGGTTCCAAGTAACAGTGTCCAATTTTCCATTAAACTCTTTGGAGAAAGTGTGAAAAGTATAACAGCTGAAGTATTTTCTTTGAATTGTTCTTATCTTTGTATTCTCTTTCATTCCAATAGTGAATCATCACAAAATAATCTACTGTGAATCAACTTCTATGATTTGTCTGTGAAAAAAATTGTTCAGTAAAAAAATAAGGCCGTAGATTTTATTAATAAAGTTATATTGGTGTGACATTTTTTACTGCTTTTTAGGTTACTGAAATCCACCCCCTAATCATTAGTAACACAAACACTTGGAATAAAACAAATAAAAGGGCTTGAATAAGGTGCTTGCAGACATGGGGTGTGCCTGCCTTCACTGGTACACCACTGTCCAGGAAAGCTGAACAACTCCTTAACACATTCAGGTGGCCCTTCAGAACAGTTTTGGGGGTCAAATTTACACTGCTTGGCTTAATTCCAAGCACAAGTTTTGCATCGTGTTTCTTCTTGGTTTAGGAATTCATGTGCAGCTTACGTAGAATATGCAGCCATTAGAGTGAAATTCGGGTTATACATTTTGCAGTTATATTGTTTTCTGTAAATCTCGGATAAATTGCCATTCTTCCCATGCTAAATTACTTCGGATATGCATTTCCCGTTTATATGTTTTACACACTTATGAATACATGTTTATAATGGAAGTCCCTTAATAACTGGATAAAGTCCAAATGATGACATAGGTTACCAATAAGTGAGAATGTTTATGCAATTGTAGAGAAGTCCATGGAACTTTTGTGTTGAATTCAGTGTTCAGGTTGTTTAACCTCTTCGCCACCCAAGACATTTCCCCAGGAACACTCATGAGCGGTTGCATAAGACTTCAATTAGATGCGCCTCGCGACTAGTGTGCACCAAGCATCAATGCATGTGGATGCAGCTGACATCACCTGCGTTAGGTGACGAGCATCGACACAGCCCTGAAGGATTGGCTGCATGAAGTGTGAATATCAGTGCGTTTTCATTGGGCACCATCGGGAGACAAGTAACGTACTTTAGCTTCCAGACTCCATATATATATATACACAATGATAATTTAATTGTTGGGAAAGAAAAACTGAAAAGTGTCATGGGAGCATAGCCCATTGTTGCCAGTATTTCAAAGGACTTGGCACGTGCCCATTTACTGTGGGCATGAAATCAAACTATGAAGAATAAGAATAATTGTAATAGTGATAATGAAGCAATATTAAAGGCATTTTGAGCTTTCCTTTGGTTTGAAAATGTTCATACAAACTGTTAAATTATTTTTCAAAGTAATCTCAAAGGTTTTTAATTCTGATATTTTTATAAATAAACCACCCACATAAATGTTCAGGCATATTTTGGACATGTCATATTAAAAAAAAAAAATTCTTTCCCAATCATTGTCAGTATTCAATAAATAAATAAGTGAAGAAAATTTCATGACCTGTGGAACAAGAAAATACTTGAAGAGGTATGTCCTGAATGTTTTAGTACGAGTACAGCTATACTCTTTCATACCACTTACCAGCTCATCCACCATATCTGGATCTACTGCAGAAGCTCCAGCAGGAAGTGCCTCTTGCAAACCGTCTGTGTCTGATGAGCTGCCACCTGCACTTGCAGAGGATGATGCAGAAGATACCTATTGCAAATGACTTTACTCAAACTCATCCTTGATCATACATTACAATTAGAGGCAACATGCTCTAGAAGTCTAAGAAATTGGTATATGAAACAAAAAAAGTTAGCAGAATGTGACAAATACTTTCAACATTAATTTGAATTTTGTTGATCAAAATCAAAGACAAAATAAAACAAATTATTTTAAACTAGTGATAACAAAACACTCTTTTGAAATTGGTATTTTTGTCAGCATTAATTAACTTAAAGAGGAAAAAATGAATCGATACGTCTTTGACAAGAGAAAACATTAGATTCAATCCTTAATCATCTAAATCAATCAAACTCTCCAAAAACGCAGAACAAACTGTTTTTGAAAAATATCTGTGGTCATATTTGGTGAGAATATGACATGTAAAATACATGAAAAATCCAGTCAATATAAAAAATGTAATTGTGTGGAATAAACAGTTGTATCTGAATGAATTTTGGATTTATCATGTTCTGACCAAACACTACAGAATATATTAAATTCTTCTTATCATTATTATGAAATGATTTGAGAAGATGTTGGTTATTCTTGTGAATTCAAGTATTTTTCTGGAGCAGTGTTGCTCTGAAATGACATGTGACAGTTTTAAGCAAATGTTTTTTAAGTCTCACCTGAGCCAACTGTTGAAGCAAACGAGCATGCTTCTTCGCTAGTGATTCAAAGAGAGATACGAGACGTTGTGTTACATAAGGATGCAAATTCCGAAATTCGGCAGACATGTTGGCGAGGGCTGCAAGACAGTTTGTATGAAGGTAGCGATCACGCATGCGCAGCATGTTAAACTGCACAGTACGCAGCACAACCAAAACAAGGAGGCCTCCCAGAGACAATCCTGAGACTGCACGCTCGGTGTACCAGGTCACTTGACGTAGCATCTGCACAAAAACATTATTTTCTGATATTTTATGTTTCAATAACTCGCATTTTGGCTAATACCCACATATAGTCAACTCCTGTTCTAGTGAACTGGGGACTGACATTTTTGGTTCACTATATCCGATGATGTCAAAATTAACAATAGAATTTTTTCACAATTATTTCTTTCATTAATATAGAGATACAGTAAAATACATTACCAGCCTGGACAGAAAATTTCAATATCTTTATTTGTTCTTAAAAATTAATTATTTTCAATGGTTTGTTTCGTACATTTTTCAATAAGAATTTCTATAGGTTTAGTTTATGCTAGTCTAGTTTATGCTTTCTCCACTCTTGATTCTGCAGTGTCCACTATCTTTGAGTATTGTAATGCAGTCTTGACAACCTTCAATGCCTCTTGAACTGTTGGAAGTCCCGAAGGCCCTTTTACTCGCCTCATAACATAATAAGAGATCCTTTCGGTAGCGGGATAGCGGAAACGTCTAATGAAACTAATCATTTTTGCCGAAGAGCACAGCAGGGATTGCAGTCTATGGGGCTATGGCATTCACATGCTTCCTGTCGCCTAAGTAGAGCAAAACACACTTTGTTCCAAGTAATATCAAGTAACATCAAGCCTGAAACTGAAGCAAGCAGTCACGTGTTGCCCTTACCAGTTGTATGCAGGACATGGTCCTTTACTTCCTCAAAGACACTGAGTGGGATGTCCCTATTCTGGGTACGCTACCTTCATCCCAAAGAAGACTGCTTCGATTATGACCTTTAACTGATTTTTTCAAGCTCCTAGTGTTGGAATTTGTAGCACAGAGGCGATATATTCTATTGAAGGAGGGAATTCATTTCCAAGACGTATTTCTTAAAAAGTTCACTGTAACCGAATCTTCCTATGCTTATTTGTAATGTAACTGAAATGGGACTAGTGGTTAAATTCACTATAACCAAAGTCGACTGCATATGCTATATGTTATATTACATGTTAATATGTACTTCTTAAAAGGACCTTAAAGTTAGTCGTTGATTTCTTATTTGAACTAGGCAGTGTAAGTTGTGGACAAGTCAAACTAAGCACATACAATGTCTTTTGAGATTGTGCCACAAGCCTACCTCAGAGGCGGAGCAGGTGCTTACGAATACCAAAATCTTTTCAGTGAAAATATCACAATCGTGCACGTAGGAGGCATGATAATGACTGCTTTAATAAAATTTCAATTTCATAGTGGCATTTGGTTATCACAATTTTTCTGATTAATATCTATATATTATAATCATATCTATGTATAAATATTTTAACTTTGGAGCACACACAGCTATTTTTTGAGGCATAATGACACGCAAGTTGTATTTTTTACAACATCCAGAATTTTTGTCATTTCTATCTTTAATATTATATTTTTTCCATTCAAATAATTTTTATTTGAATGTTTTACATAACTTCGAATAATATAATGAGAGAACATAAAAAATGAAAATATATCTATAAGGATCTGATTTCATTACGGGAAAATATCTATATCTTCATAATTATAGTAGTGGCAGGAAGACGCCAAAACAAATTTCAATATTTTCAACTTTCAGAAAATCAAGGTTTTCAATGAAAATGACATCTGCAACATTCTATTAAATGCCCCACACAGTAGCTAACAAACAAATTTAATAAAAAAAGACGAACTATTTTTAAAAAATTTTGAGGTTTCAGGGGCTTAATGTAAAGTACACCCAAAATTAAAATATAGATTTTAAAAACAAGAGGTCATGATATCATTCAGATCAATTAGGGTATAACAATTTTGGAGAAAAACAGCTGAGTAGTTAAGCCACCAGCATTGTTCACAGACAAAAAAACTCAACGTGCATTGTAAAATGTACAACAGACACATCTTTACTCTCAGATTTCTCTCTCAGAACTCAACAAACAGTTAACGTAATTCTCTACTGAAGCACAACATTTCATGTAACTATGAAAAATGTTCAATAGTTGTACTTTTCACAACATCACGAGTGCTCAAAGATTAAATAAATGGATGAAGTATTTTTTGTTGTAATTTTTGCGTACTGATGAAACTTACTATATCATGAACTATCCGATTGAAACCTTCATCTTCTGACAAAATAAGAAGCACAATAAGTGACATGTAGATATGGTGGGAGCCTGCAGCTGGTGCGTGATACAGGGTGCGAAGCACTGGTTCCACCAACTGCTCAAGATCTGAGCGTGCCAAAATGTGGGTCCGTGCATCAGAATTACGATGCAGGAGCAGGTACAAAAGGAGTGTACATTCTTCTTGAGCTCTCCTTGCCCCAGCACAAAGGGCCTGGTACAAAGGTGACATGTCGAGACGGAAGGACACTGCTGCTCGGGTGTGCTGCGATTCCACGCGGTCATCTGCAGTCAGAAAGAACATCAATAAATAGCCCAGTCAAGTTTTCAGAAATATGGGAAGTGCATATGCTTAATGTTTGTTAGAAAGAACTAAGAATTAATAATCCAATATGTGGTACCAACTATATTTAATTTAGTTCATAATTTTAGATTCTAAAAAATGCTGCAGCATTTTGACCAAATAAAACTTTTCTGCAAATAGTTAAAAACTACATCCTGTAAAACTGCCCATATCTTGAGAAATTGAAGCCAATATGAATAGTTCTTTGTTCGAAACTGTAATTAAGCCATTTGATTAATAAAATCACATTAAAGGAGACAAAAGATAAAGAGATAATTCTGGAAAGAAAGAGATATCCAAATTCAAGTTATTCAAAGCTCTGAACAAAAACAATGAAACCTCTTTAAGCTGACCATGTTATTAAATTTTTTAAATAGGTCTAAATTGGTCTTTTATATAGGTGAACTTCTTAAAGGGAACATCACACTATTAAACTGTACTCTACATTGCTGCTGCAACTGATATGAGAGGTATTGTAACACGATTGTTTCAAATGGAAGTTTTATTGTATTGCATCATTAAATTACTTTGATGAACTGTATTTATTAAATAATATGATTACAAAAAAGAATAGTACTGTGTACTTTAAGAATTGTCCTGCACGTAATGCATAATTGATATAAGGTGATCTCTCGATATCATAATTGTGGGTATTATTTTGCTTCTGTGAGATTATCTTTCAACTTTATAATGTGATTGTTTTTCTACATTTCCAAGGTCTTCCCTTCGGTGTTATTGTGCAATCGCAAAGACACTGGAAACTGCTCGGCTTACAGTAGTATATGAACTTTCAAGTTCATGATTATAATGCCATGTTCTCTAGTCAACTTGGTCAAATTGGTCGGGAAGGGGGGTGGTTGGTTTTAAGGAGGAAAAATACATTGGTCTCATAGAATAATTAAATGTGTTCCACAGAAAACTGGTCTCTAAAAGGGGCTGTCTTCATAAAGAGATGGTCTTGTCCAGAGGTTTCATTGAGATTCAAAAATATTGTGCTATTAATCTTACCATGTTGAACATCAGTAAAACAGAAGAGGGCTTGCCGATAGGGGTTATGTAGGCTGCGATCTGCAGTGCAGTGGTTCACCAACACCAGAAGCAACAGCAACGAACGGTTGGCGAGAGGAGCATCTGTGACAGGTGGCTCCCCCACCAATGGAGGAATGGCGTCTGGTGCATTGGGATCCAGTTCTGGCTCTGCAACATTCACACTTCTTAATCCAGAATACAAACGTTTTGATGTGAAGTACAAAGTAGCTGGGATCAAACAATTTTGTGGGTAAATGTTTCACAGGCTAGAGGGCGGAACATGAAATTAGGCAGCAGACTGCTTTTTATGCTCACTTAGTTACATTTTATACCAAAGGAAAGGAATGCAGGAGGAGCAGGAGCTTTTTAAAGGTATGGAATGGAGTGTAAAAAAAAACAAACAAGTAGGTAATGCGATCTTCGCCAATTAAATTTGATCAAATTTGGAGAAATGTATGGTTTAGGGACATATAGGTTTAGAATTGGTGTGACATCACACCCTTCTTTCCACTTGAACAAACAGCTCCAACTAATAGCATGAACTCTCTTCCCACATAGCTTCCTTAAAATGTTAAAATAACACAAAGATCTTATTATAAGTCAAACCCCTCAAATGTATTTCAATTACAACTATTTTGATAACTTGCAAGTTTCTTCGTACCAGCTGTAACTGTGCGACCATATCCTAAAGTGAGCACAGACCATAAACCAGATGCCAAAGCAAGAACCAGGCTGCCTCCCCCAGAGTTGGGACGGTAAAGACCAGCTGGTGCAGGCTGCTGCTCCGAGAAGTGAAGCAGCAGTGTTTTGACCAGAAGGGGAGCATGAATTGCATATCTACCCTGCATCAAACTTCTGTAACAGCACCAAAAACAGAGACATGATTTAAAAGGAACATCACAGAAACTCTATTACACAGGAACTTGGAAGGATAAATACTGACAAATATATTTTCAAATTCTTATTACTCCAAAACTGAAGTTTTCTCCTGACTAAGGGCATTCAGACAAAATTATAATTTAAAGAAGAATGCAATTGAAAGTGGTAAGTGTGCTATTCAAGGAAAAAATTGAAAGAAAAAATAAAACTCAGTATGAACCACAAACTACCCCCAAAAATTAAAACATCCATTTGAAATTTGGCAGGTTTAGAATTGATACAGACTGAGCATGGAATTTGCATTTTGAGGAATATTCTGTTTCCAGTTTAGGCACTAGTGTTGTTGATAGACAGATATGAACTTACAGGAACTTTTGAATTTTTATTTTTTCAGTACCAGGAATCCCCAAAAGGTGAATTTCCATCAAAATCTGACCATTGATTTATGCAGCATTAGTCTCAATATCTATACTATGTGTACGAGAAGGAACTAGGAAATACTGAAATTTTTTCATTCTACGTTTGAAGTTTGTCTGGAGTAGTCAATAAAAATCTTTCTTAAGCTTACCCAATTTTAGTCGATAACCTAGTTTCCAGAAATTTGGCAGCTCTCCTCTTAACAGAGATAATCTTCAGAAATATGTTTTCACAAAGTAACTGATATTTTATGATTATTTTTAAGTCAGTTGATGCGAGTCAGTATCTACTTGGCTGTCCAGGAGGCGTCGTGTCCAGATGCCGAAATTTCCACATTCTGCGGCTTTCCAACATTTCGGCCGTCGCAATTCACCCTTCCTCAGGGCGCACGGTTTGGCCGGGCGATCGGCCAATCAGGCAACACAGGGAGGAGGGGGTCGCGACAGGGCGTCGCGTTAAACTAGAAGCATTCATTCCTCAAGAAGACGTAGACCTCCGTCGGCATTCTTTTGGGGATGTTTGATAAATTCCACAGCCTCTTCGGTTTTTTCAAAAATAACGCGAGTCCAATTTTCCATGCTTCGCCCGGTCGCGTCCGACCACCCGCGGACCCCTTCTCCAAGTGCACCTAAGTCCATTTCGCCCCGAGGAAGGCCGCCGCATGGCGGTCGAAACGTTGCCGTCTGTGCTTAGGATGCGGCGTCTCCCGGACAGCCAAGTAGATCTGGATGCATTCGCTTGTTCCCTTTAAAATTGAAACTAGTGGTCAACAGTTCAACTTTCACATTATGAAGTTTCCAATACACACTCACAGAAGGTATTTGGTTACTTAACACACAAAATGACATACCTATACACACAAAACTGGTGAGCAGGACGCTGTGAGTATAGAGGGCCAGCTAGAAGAGCAAGCAGTGTGTGTACAGCCTCTACATGTACAGCATAAGTGAAATCCTTGACTGGCACATCCACCACCAGCTCCACTAGGGCATCCAAGAATACTTCGAGGCGTGGTTCCCCTTCATCAGGAGGTCTTGACACTAGAAGTGATGCAATTCACATTGGTATTTATTTCATGCCAGAAGCAACTGCTTTTGATACTGGACTGTATATTTAGTTTCGGTTAACATTCTATGTGATATTTAGGGTTGGATTTTGATGACCTAAACATCACTAAAAATGATCAATAAAATGCTCTTAAAACGTTTTTCAAATGCCCTAAAAGCATAGAAAAATGGCATTAAAAAGTGATCAAAACCAGTTCGGATGAACAACTCAAGCCGTTGGACATGTTACTGATATAATCAAGGCTTTTTCTATTCATTCAAGTGAACAGTCCCAGACTTCACAGTCTGGTCACCACTGTGGTCCTCTTCACAACAGCCAGTAGACCTCAAATGTTTAGGCCTTTCAACTACAGATGTTATTTAAACAATGCGTTTCACATAACAGATCTATCCATTAAATATGGTGTGCATGAATTGACCTGAAGAAGTGATAAACCTTATTGTAAAACATAGCACATGCAACAAAAACATTAATGGAAGCCAAATATATGTGTAATTTTAAGTGATGTGTTATTGATTTAATTTATTCAATGATTGTGTCTAAAAGATATGAATAATAAATAACAACTGAGCAGACAATCAAGAAACATTAATAAGTAAAATAAAATTTAATTTTAATTAAAGATACATTTTTTACTCTATTTATATCTAAGTAATATAGCTGCCAACCTGGATGGCCGAGTTGGCTAGAGCATGTGACGACTCAGTGCGTCAGTTGGAAGGGTCATGGGTTTGAGTCCCTCCATGGGCATGGTTGTTTGTCCTTTGTCTTTCATGTATGAGTTGTTGCAGAAGTCCTTGTGAGTCTGCTGACCAAAGACCAAGGAGTCGAAGTGTGTCAATGTCTAGTGTAAAGATTAATATGTCTTCATCTGGGTCATTGTGGGTACCCGGGATGGATAGCTGAAATTGGCATCTCCTGAAGCTGGAAAATCTACTTTTAAGTTGTTAAAAAAAAACCTTATCCTCAAAACTGATATATTTGAAAACAATTGCCTAAACTGATTATTTATGGCAAGGGGGCAGATTTTTATGACCTAAAACATTGCCAAAAATGATGAAGAAAATGCTCTTAAAGTGTTTTTTAAGTGCCCTAATAGCAAAGAAAAATGACATAAAAAATCTGAACAGGTCAAAAACAGTTCAGGTAAACAACTCAAGCTATTGGATATGTTACTGATGTAATCACGGTTTCTTCCTTTCATTCAAATGCACTCAGCTTGCAAACTTTTGATTTGGACTATTTTTTTACTGCAAGATCAGCTGAAATGACAATGGCACCGAAAGGCATCTCAAGAACCTTAGATTGCATACTCATAATAACTGACATTACAATTTCTGAGCGAAAAAATTGAATAGGCTACTCAGAAAATTTCTGGGAAACATTTGTTGCATTTTGTAAATATTATTTGAAGCAAGTGCACTTAAAATAAATGAAATCAGCAAAAAATGCTTTAAAACTTACAGAACAAGGTAAAATTAACTTCTTGATCGAAATCTATGAAATTTTTTAAAAAAATGTCATATAAAAATGGGTCATTTCCTTTCATTATAACATAAAACTAATGTCAGTAGTAAATGGCGTACTTCCAAAGTGAAAAGAAAAAAGTTACATTTCGCTAAAATCCACCTCCTATTTATGACACAAACAAACAAGAGAAGTCATGGATCTTCATCCCATCTTTCATAGGTAGTTATTGTGGAGAGTTCCACTGTCAATTGGATTTGGATCCAAGAAGCCTACTAGTTAGTTTCTAGTGTGTGGTTTGCAACAACCATTGTGATATTGAGGGTCACCAGTTTTAGCTGGAAAAATTCCTAACAAATAGAAATTATTATATTCTTACCATCATTTGACACTTGAGGCCTTGCTTCAAATTGTCGAACTAGATCTTCTTCTTTAACATTTTCCACGAGAAACTTTGAAATACAACGCAATATAAGTAAAGCATTGTACGTCTGCCATCCAAACATTGCACTGGAATATGAGAGAAAATTTAATTATGATAAAGCTAGTAGTACAAAGAGAAAATCATGTTTTTGATTAATGACCATTTATGTATAATACCACAACCACTACAAGAAGAAAGATTAAAAAGGTTAAACTTTATTAAATGGTATCTGAGGTAGGTTTTTTGCTCTTTGTTAGAGATAAGGGAGATTTGAAAGTCTTAAGGAGGAACCCACTTGTTAAACTTTCAGATCTATCTTCCAATACAGTGGTTTTCAAACTTTTTACTACAGTCCCTTCAGGTAACAAATTCTGTACAAAGCTCCCCTTCATTAAAATTAAATTGTTAATTAAAATATCAACTAAATATTTCTTTTCTGAAAGTAAGGTCATCATGTACACTTTATTATTATTTACTTACAATGTACAAAATAATTAATGCAAGTGATTTGCACTGGCTCGCAGATTTGCAGTAACTTGCAAAGTACGGAAAACAATAAAGAACGAACATATTGATAGTTCAGAAAAGTCAGTGAGATGGATGGGCTTATTTGATGTCACGCAGTTCATTGAATCTCAGCACTAATTTAGAAATATCAGTATGCATCTCATTCTGGAGATTTATTCTTGATCTACATTTTTCTTGATCCCTGCAAGGGCTGGAAATGCTTTTTCACATATGTAAGAAGTGGAAAAAGGAAGAAGAACATGCAAAGCCTTCTTACTTAACTCTGAACACTGATTGTTTACAGAGCACCAAAATTCTGACAATGTTACAGGAATGAATCACGGCACAACAAAGCAAGCCGTATTCTATTGCGCCAGCTACCAGAGTTCATTTAAAATAACTGATATTGATAATGTTGATTTCATGGAAGTAATGTGATCACATATTATAGCAATGTTTTCCCCATTTGCTAAAATTAATGAAAGCACATTCATAGTCTGATAGTTATTTATTCATGTAGAAATAATTAGAGCATTATTAAGCATTAGAACATTTTAATTAAAATTATTACCAAGTTTTCGTACCACCCTTCTGAAACTTTCGCACCTCCCTGGAGAGGCACCTCATTTTGAATAACACTGTTCTAATACATAGTGGTATGAATCTCAAGATTTATCATTGGTAATTAATGCATCACATTTGAGAAATAAATTAAAATACTGTTTCACCCAAAGAAACTGCCATTTCTCTGTTATGATATTGATTCTGTTCTGATTACATTATAAATAAAAGTGATGTCAAAACAATTTATAAAATTTTGAAAAATCTTCGGTACACATAAATCAAAACTGGAACTCATTTTTAATTTTCAAATTCTTCACCACATTTTCTGGATCTCTCATTCAATAGTTGTTAAGCAATTGACACTACCATTATACTTATAAAAGTGAATTCAGTGATTTTTACAGCTTGATCACTGAGGGAATGTTTTACAATACTTAATTAAAATGTACTATTCTCTGACCTGGGAGCTTAGTGCCCCAAAGTCTTGCATTGCAATAGAAGAGGAGGAGTTCTTTGAAATGCATTCTGTTGCACGTCCTTGAAACATGAGCATTTGGAAGAAATGTGATCTGTTTTGAAACTCAACTCATTTAGACATAAAATGTCAATTGAAATATCATACATCTTTAACCTTATGCATTTTAAGAGATGTGTGAATGGTCATGAAAAGTAAATAAAAGGTTAAATTACACCTACTTGTCCGTCTGGGCTGATGCAAGCAACTCGCCAGCCCGCCCAAGGAATACATGCAACAAAGATCCTAAATTTCCTGATGTCAAGTTGTTAACAAGAAGTCTGCGACAAACAGCTGCTACTTGCTCATCTAATCTGCGATTCTCTGCCCTGAAATTTTTTTAAACATAAATATCATTGACACAAATATTTTATAGGTATCAAACAAAAATCGATTTGTTTCTTTAGTGAATTTATCTAGTTTATTGGTGAATTATGATAAAAGAAATGGAGAAGCATTCATTATGAGTTTGCAAGGTAGTCTGCAATATTGGACAGTAGCATTTAATGAACAATTTATTTAATGAAAATAAGAGGATTAGATAGATATCACTCTGAACATTTCAATGTTCCTCACATTTTCACATATTTTTTCTAAATAAAGAAGATTATAGCTAAGAAGAACTGCTATTAAACAGCAGTCAACTTACATACTGGCTGGTGGGGGGAATGAGAAAGACAATAGTCGATTCCAGAAAGGATCATTGGGTGAAATATGCTCTTTGTTGGCAAAGCGTGCCAGGTACTCATTGGACTCCAAGTCCCCAACACGGCTGGCAGAAGTCCCCATGCTGCACCTTGGTTTACCTAAAATGACAGTTTGTTCATACCTTGTGACAAGTTTTACAAACTTGAGGGCAGTTATCAACAAATGCGATAAAAACTAAAATTGTATATCTAGTTTTACATGCCACAGTGATTTATTTAATCCACGTTTCTGTACTAGAATCTTTCTCTGTGAATTTAAAATCTTTATTACAAGCAAATGAACTTGAACACTATTTATAGCCAGTAAAGCATCACTTTGTAATAAAAATATCTCCACTGTATTTAGCAGGTTTAGCATGCACCAGCAACATAAAACAATTTCAGAAAAAAAATATTTACCGAGATGAAAGGATACGATCTGTAAGCAGTACTCTGAACTTTATGTTTATGTATGGACATTTCATAACCTAATTTCATTTACTATATTCTTGAAATTTCTTCGCATCAGAGACAACATGCGAACCAGCCAAGCGGAACTTCGTTCTAACACTCACCAGTTAGCTCATACAGCGCAATGTCACTTTCCTTCACAAATAATCAGCATCATTTAATGGGTTCGCTCTTATCTTCCAGCACGGCACCGCCATGTCAGCAAAAAACTAGGCTTAGACCGGGCGCCGCCAGTCGCCTGTCGGTCAGCTGCAGTTGCTGTGCTCAGCTGTTGATGTGTCAACACTCGCAAGACGAATACCATGCAGTCCTTGTAAAGGGTTTCGAAAGCTCTGCTATCTTATGGATCGTCTTTACTCTTCCCAGAGTCTCTGCGATAATTTGGTACTGTGTACAAATGGCATAGAGAGGGCAACAATGCTAGTTGTCGAAGCTTCTTGCATGTGATGATTCATAGTATCAGATAAGAAGTCGAGCGAGTTATTTACGATCGGAACTTCGGAAGGGTTGATCCATTGTGTATTGTAAAACTGAAGTGAAAATAATGGCTTGGATCCGTGTTCTTATTCCTTCTTTATGGATTGTTGCTTATTATTGTGCTACTGTGAAGGGCTGGGAACGAGAGGTAGGTTAATTGTCACACCGAGTATTATAAGTTTTTACAATGATCTTATTTAGTGGAACTGCAATTATTTGTTAACAGATTACGTCAGAATTGAATCCTGGATGTCCGGATATTCTCTGCAATGGAACATTTAGAATAGCACATATCAAAGCCAAAGGACCCAATGATACATTGCATTATGTGTGGGACCTAACAAAGAAACCGTCTTTGTTGCTTGCCCTTACCACTCATAATGCCACTGTAAGTTTTAATTTGGATTGCATTGGCAATGGAAAAGAATGTAATATGATTTTTTCAGAAAAACCTCTGTACCGATTTGGAATTGTGTTTAATAAGGTAAACAACTTCTTTGATATTAGTTGATTATTTTTATTATTAATTATTGAATCTTAATATCTAAAATGTGGTTAAAGACAATATTAATAAACAGTGAGTAATAATAAAGTAGTTCGAATTTCTTTGTGTTGTTTAAATTGTATTAAATGTGATTTAAACCTTTTTAGATGTGGGAATTCAATGATGTAAATGACACTGGAATATTTGACCAAACCAATAAGTCAAATTCATATGTACGTGTCTTGAATACAGAACATTTTTCGTGGAACAGAACAGTATTTGATCAGGATTCACGCAGTGTGTCTATTGGTGTAAAATCAGAGCAATATGTGAATGGAAATACAATAAAAAATGGAACAGTAAAATTGTTGGTGAGTGTGACTTTCTCTCATGAGAAGCATTGCAATGATTATTTAATTAATAATATGAAAAGTTTAGAATGTAGTTGATTGTCCTGAAAAAATATTTTCATTTTCATTGATTTTGGGTTGATAATCAGATACCCCTTCAATCTATCATATGATCTTTTAGCTGAACTATTTGAATTTTTATTGTCTTTCCCATAAATTTCACTTTGTTGAATTTTTTTCATTTCATGGACGAATCTACTACATTTTAGTTAACTTAATGAGCTCATGTAACATTTGATATTCAGGGACATATTTTGAGGCACCAGAGATTTTTGAGATAGGTTAAAAATGAATTTCATTGAAAAGTATTGTTGCTGAAAGTAATTAAAGAATAATTCCAACAAGAAAAAGAAAGTTTAGTATGTTTGTTTCTGAAAACATTTTATGTGTTTGTATAATCTTTAAGAGTCAAAGGACTTGCACCTCAAACACGATTGTAAACCATCCACTAAATATGGTGTCTTACATGTTTTGCTGATAATAATATAGGAGAAAGTAAAATAAAAAGGAAAATTTTGGACTCAAAAGTTCATGTTTCCTTAAAACAATTTTTATTATCTCCCCTTTTATTAAGTCCTTACTACTTCCAAAAATTTCACCTTATATTTTTAAAAATATTGAACTTGGTATGGTTGCTTTCCAGAAAAATAAAAAGTTAGAAAAAGCGAGTTTATTTTTATTTTTTTTTTATTTTTAGAAATCTATGGGGAAAAAATGTAACTTTTCTTTTAAAAACAGTAAAAAAATGTTAGTTATGCTACCTGTCTTTTATTGAATATATTCTTTATATGTTGTGAAATAATGTACAAATCTTAACAGAAAATATATGAAATTTCATTTGGAAAAATGGGGAAATTTGTTCCCGGGACAGAATAATCATCTAGAATGAAATTAGAATTCACATTGTTTATTTAAGAGAAAAATATAATTGCCTGGAGTTCACATGTTAAAGTCTCTTTCTTCAAACCTAAACATCCTTCAACTTTTAAAGAGAAATTATCTCATTTCAGTAAAGAACCATTATTACGTTCAAGTAATATAAAATTCAAAATCGAAAGTCATAATTGCCGAAAACCAATGTTCTTATTTTTGTTGCTGACTTGGACCTTCATAATCACTACTGGAGCTAAAAACACTGTTCATAATCATTGGATTACAAAAATGAATAACATGTTAGATTGTAATTTTAGGAGTTGGGCTATTAGTTGAAGTAACCTTCTCTCTTCTGCTCTCAAATAATATCAGATATAGTAGATGCTAATTGTGAATTTACATTCTTTAGGTGAAAGGATTTGGTTATTTGGACCACAGTGAAATGTTGCCTCACCTCCTACACACGCCCAATACATCTCAAGTGGATTTTGTTATTGATGGTCTCACAACAGAACCATCATTCAGCAACTCTCGCTTTGCACTGGAATTGGTACTGTTGGGATCTGATCAAACAGCTAGCAACATCCAGATTGTGGAGCGTCAGAGTTTGGATGACGAGCATGCACCAGGTGTCTTCACTGTGAGTAACATTTTTTGTGAGGTTTTGGAAGTTTTTGCCTTTTGGTTTGTTGCATATAAATATAATAAATAGTGAGAACTACTATATCAGCCTCTGAAGGTACAGAATGGGTCCATTCAATGCAATTGAGTGTGCACCAATTAGGCAGAGGAGAAATTCGTGGTGGAGGGGACAAGGGAATGTTATGTTTTGAGGGGTTGCTTTCAATGGTTGTGGTAGTGTTATATCTTCTGTGAATTGTGTTGTTAGTTGTGTAGTGTTATAGAAATTTTAAAGTTTAATTTAGTGAAAAGGAATGAAAAAGTGAGGTAGATGTAATTGTAATTTTAAAGATATAAAGCGAGAGGTTTCTAGAAACTTATAAAAGATATGCATTTACCATGCTATGGATTTGAGGTGAGCTTGTGTACTAAAACTTTATTACATACAACACATTGATAATTATGCATTGCATGGAGTTTGCACTACGTTAATCGTGAATCCTCAAGTCTTGTCCTCACCTTGAAAATGCGTAGTAAAGCAACAACTTGGCCGTAAAAGTAATTTATCAAAATGTGACAGAAATTGCATTTGTAAAGCAAATGAAATATTCAATATTCTGTAGTATGGAACCACAAGCTTTATTGAAGATGTCTCAAAGACCCAAACATTATGAGTTTTCTTCATTTTCATGCGAGTGATTTTCATAGTTTTACAGCAAGTTTATCAATACACACATTCTCCCTTTCTCTCACAACACCCCTTCACTATACTCTACAGGTTTACTGAATTCTCTACTTTAACCCCTTATATTTGTGTAAAATATCATTTACTTGGCAAATTCAATCATGGGTATAACAGTGAATTTTGAAAGAGATGTATCCATTGGTTTTGGTGCATATTTACTGATGATTTGTAGGTGGTACACAAAATCTCTTAATAAAATATTGGTAATCTGCAGCACATTTCTAACTTCTTAAATTGATGTTATTTTGTAAATTAGAAGTTACATGGCCTAGAAGCTCAGTTTATGCAGGGTGGCCACTTTCTGGAAAATTTAGAAAAGTCAGGGAAATTCATTGCTCCCTGATTTTTTAGTCTTAAGTACTTCAGACTTTTTGTCCTGTGGTAAGTCTCTTTGTTTTGTATCTTTGTCATCACTCTTGTTTTCTTGTGTTGTGGAGGATCCTTTTTCCATATTCTTAATGTCCTGACTAGATTGGATTTCATTAGTTTTCAACTTGTGGCCTGTGTCCACCAAGTATTTGGACTGGACAGAGCTACCATTCATGAGCAGTTTTTAGAGGTATGCTTATCTTAATGCCATTCGCTCACCATTCATTCCCTCTAGCAACAAACGGTGTTACATGAATTGACTCATTTATTTCAGAAACCCGTCGGAACGCCAAAATCGAAAACACACTTTAGCTACGGATTATTGTTCCAGGAGGATATGCACATTGTTTACTACATATGTATATGAAAAATATTCATTTATCAACTACTTTAATAAAAAAAATATTCTTAAAATCTGAAAAATTAGGAGACAGTATCAGATTTCTTGAAATAAGGAATTTGGTGTTTGATGGGTTTCTGAATTAGATTCAATTAACGGTACTGAGACAATCTGTTTTTCCTGGAAGTTGTATTTACCATGTTCACTAGAACTGATGTTGAGAGTTCTCTGTAACTGAATCTTCTGATGCTTATAAGAGAATAAAATTTGTTGTGTGTGTTGATTAGGACCAGTGATTTCAGTGCCCTATAACTGAAAGTTCACTATATTCAATGAACTGTACGTAGTAGGCTCCATTACTAACTTTTTCTTTAAACATTTACCCCCTGCCCCCAATAGTTTGTGCATCAAATAGAAAATTAAGATTTGCTTTTCTTTGATCTCTGATTTTAAGATTTGCTTTAACAACTTCAAAATTTCCTCTTAGAGAGAATATAGCAAAAATACTTCTGGTCACAAAGTTACTAATTGTAACATAACAGACGTGACATTCACTTTTATGAAAAATGCCATTTTAAGCATGTTAATGAAAGATTGCTCTTTGTATACAGCTGGTGGATGTAGAGACTCCTGACAGTGCAGGCTCGGCAAAAGGTGGATACCTGCAATGGAGACCAGTGGCTTACATCTCATCTGTTCGGGATGTTGCCAACTCAACTGATGCAACTATCTACTCACCACAGAATGTGACAAACCCAGTGGAGGATCTGAAGGGCACCCTTATTCTCTCTGGCTTCTGTTCCAATGATACTGGGACAGAAACATGCTTGAATGCGACTTTGGTTCAAGCTACTGCTGTTTCATTTGGGCTCAAGGAAGATGGATTCTATAAGAAAACAAAGTATATGGCTTGGTAAGTGGGTGTATGAGGATATTGGTGATAAATTCAATTTATAAATGCATTAGAAGGAAGCAAAAAAACATAACTGCACTTGGAAGAAAACATGTTGTTTTCTTACTGGGACTATTTACTGCATTCATTGTTCATTTGATAAAATCTGTTGCCAATATCGCAATTGTAAGTTGCCATAAGTCGTTTTGCCAACCATACTGTAATTGCCATCACCAAAGGTGCAGCACAACATTGTCTACAAAAACAATGAATTAGGTGAGCATACATGGTGCAGAAAACAAAAAATGTGTGTAGCGTGGTGTCATCAACAAAGACTTATATCTATTATGTTCAATATCATTTTTGCTTTGGTTTTAAGATTATTATTTACTTTTCTGTCTATGATCTTTTCAAATTAGTCCGACTGTATTGGGCTCTTATTTAAAGACAGAAAATTATTATAAAATAACTTTTATAGGAATACATTACAAAGGCATTTCAATGGTAATATATAATAGTAACTGTTTCGGAAATAAATTATTTCTATCTTTAGGCTTAATGTTAAAAATAAATAATTAATATATTTTAAACAATGGAGAAATGGTCAGATTTAAACAGATGAATTACATAAAATAATGTACACAAGTCACAATGGAACACATCTTGATAAAAACTTTTAATCTCAATGTGATACGAGTATATATGAATGGATAGAGAGAGGTTGAGAGGGACATTACAAAATCAGGTAAGACAGAAAGAAAGAAGTTAAAATTAGTAGTTTATAAAAAAAAATCTTAATTTACTCTATAATCCCTCATATATATTGGTAAATTTATTAGATTCCATCTGTGTATTCAAACACAAAAAATTGATAAAAAGGGTTTCTAATATTAATCTAAGATATAAGAAATGTTCACGGTCACGATTTCCTGCCATTCCACATAATAATAATAATAATAATAATAATAATAATAATAATAATAAATAATAATAATAATAATAATAATAATAATAATAATAATAATAATAATAATAGTAATAATAATAAAAAAAATATAATAATAAAAATAAAAAAAACACACACACAAACAAACAAACAAAAATGATGGCCCCTTCAGTTTGAAATCCTTATTTTACTTTTTGGGAGGGTACGTTACATTAAGCCCCTGGGACGTTTTCAAAGACGTGGATCCAAATTTATGGATGAAATTTTTTTTTGGCGGTTAGCGCAAAGGACGCTTAACAGTAATGTTAATTGGAGACATATATTTCGAAAATTGAAATGGTCAACATTTTTTTCTGCGTCTTTCTACACTTAAAATACTAAAAATTAAGTTTTTTCCCATAATTAAATTGTTCCTTAAAGATTTGAAATAAGGCCATGTGGAATTTTTCGAAAATGTGGGTAGTTTTTCTGTAATTTCGCGTGAAACATAGGCAATTAAAAAAAATTTAACAATTTTTTCTCAAAAATCGCTTCAAAAATTTTTTTCTTATTTGTATTAAGGGTCAGTAAAAAATAAAGTGCTTGTCCCAATTTTGGCTGTCTCTGTTTTTGCAAAAAATGCAAAAAGTAAACATTTCGAAACTACAATATTTGAGATGGCAACTTTTGTCTCAGACAAAGTCTATTGTTAAAAAAAACAGCTTTTTGAAATAGGTCATATTCAGTTATAAAAAAAAAATAGTTTTTGCAAATTTTGTGCTGGAAGGGGTATCCCTGATAACATGATTAAAGGTTCCTGTCAACCAAACGACATATGAGAAATTGCACAATAACTCTAACATAATAATTATATTTTTGAAAGGTTTCTTAATCTCCGTCCCACCCCCCTCACAATTGCTTTTTTTATTTTAATTTTTTTCATCAACTCAACTCTATTTTACCTGATTGAAAAAAGTGGATAATAAGGAAATAATTCATACTTTGAGAAAAACATTTTTTGATATTTTCTCAGTGCCAAATTGAAATACTAAAAAATATTTTTAAAAGAAATACAGTTAAAAGAATAAAAAACATTTTTACCATTTTCCCATATTAAATCAGCTTGATTTTAAAAATACTTCGAAAATGTCTGCAACAGTTCTGTGCATTTATTTTAGTTTATTATACATTTCTGTACATTGTTGTAGCACCCAGAAATATTTTGGCTCTTTTAAGTGTAACAAAAATCCTGTTTTTAAAGTGTTCTAATAATTTGTATAAGTACATTATATGCTATGGATAGGCGATAGTTTTTGGCAGTTTATGAGAAAACAATTCACAGGTAAAGATAAAGTAGGGTACATGTGGGGAAATGAAGGGGAACAGGTTGAACCCGGATTTACAAGAACTGTTTTGCTGTATTTTAGGACACCGGACCAGGCACGAAAAAATCTTAAAACTTTCTCTCTGAACACTTGTGAATTTTTCAAGACTTTTTCAATTGATGGGTTATAATTAAATAAACTAAGGCATCTGTAGTCAAGTACTTAACTGTCCGGTAGGCCTCGGCACCTAGGACCTTCCTCTAGGAGGAAGGTCAGAGAATGATGGCTGAAACCTGTGCCTAGGAAGTGCCCAAGTAGTTATTGACTGCGGCTGTGGAAACCTACGCTGTCACATCTGTAGTCGTTTCAGACCAGGGAAAAAAAAGTTGTTTTTTCTCTTATCTAAAAATTGATTCTTGTATACATATATGTATGATGGTAAAAGAAGTATAATACCATAATTATGTACAGTCCAGACAAATGTGAAAACTGCACTTCCTAAATAATTATTGTACGAAAACTGAAAATTGATTTAAAGTAGCACCCAACTGAACGCCCATCCCTCAAAATGTATTTTACAGCCTTATAGGCCTATCGCAGAAACCATTGCAATATTGCTGAGTGTTGAGATTAAAATGCACAGAAAATAAAATTGTTCCTTTAATTTTATCATGAAAGATAATTTCAGTATGGCAACTGGTACCAAAAATGTGGATAAATTCTGTTGCTAAATTTAGAAAAAAACAACAAACAATACTTGCAACACGTGATGTAAACAGAATTCATGTTTTGTGGTTCTGTTCAGTCGATTTTCTGGTTAGTAGTGGTTAAACCGTTCAGTCGATTTTCTCCAAATTTGATATTTCACAATCGATTGGGCTGATGTCGCTGTCCCTTGTTTTTAAAATCAATATTTTAATTTGGGGGGCAGAGGGCAAAAGAGAATTGTGCTGGTTTCATTTGAAAACTAGTTTTTTTAAAAATTGCAAAAATTTAAAATTTTCAAGAATTTGAGTATTTTTTGCATATTTTTTTTGTTAAATGTAGAGATTTTTATTTTGTTTAAATATTTTTTTTCTCAAAAACTGCTCTACCGTTTTGATGAAGTTGTGTTGTGGGGTAGTCTGAAGGATGCTTAAAAACTCATGTTGGATGAAAGAAGGATGGTTCAGGACTCACGTTGATTGAAAACTCTGATTTTTCGAAAATTGGAAAAATCCAAAATGTGTTCAGTTTCTTCCTACAACTGCAATTTTGAAGATACATTTTTTTTGTTAATGAAATGTGTTCATCAAAAACAGATCTTCAAATAAGGTCTTATTCAATTTTTCAAAAACATCAGAATTCTTTTCAATTTTTTTGGCAAAAATAGGCAATTTTTATTTTCACCAAACCATTCTTTCTTAAAAATCACACATTTTTTATTAAATTGAAACTTTAGATATTGTATAGGATGCTTAGGAGAATGATGCTAGCTCTCATGATCATAAAATGAATGATTTTGCAAAAATTTTAAAAAAAATTTTGGTGTCTTCCTACTACTACATTTGTCAAGATTCAATTTTTTTCATTAACGATATGTGTTTGTATAAAACATCTTCAAATAAGGTCATGTTGAATTTTTTGAAAATATGAATATTTGTCAAATTTCATGACAAACATAATAACCTGCTCCCAATTTACTGTGCTTCATGAACATAAGAGGTACTTCCAGAAGGATGCTTTGTAAGTTAGAATTTGTATATTATATGATATTTCTTTATTCCTTTCTTACATTCGAGTTTTTGTTATATGTTAACAAATTAATATTTTATAAATTATTTAAAACAATATAAAATGCAGTCTTTGATCAAGCTAAATGTGAGAAGGAATAGATTTCGCTTTGCATAAAATGTGGAAATGAAGAGTAATGCATGTAAAAACCAAATAGTTTTGATGAATATAACTATTATTTTTAATTATATTTTATATCCATTTTCACGTTCTTGCCCTGATATCAATAATGCTAATTTTCAAAGTGTATCTTATACAAATTAGCGGTTATTGTTGTATTTGTTGCACATTGTAATGCTTCACTGATTACAGAAGACAATAATGACAGATGCAGTTCGTTTGCGTTAATATAAATTATTTATTTTATTTATGGCTAAAATACGCATCACGCATCATTAGTACATTTATATAGAAGAATAGGTAGGAAAGTTTCTATCAGTATCGGAAAGTTTGTTCCACCTCGAACGTTAAAGCACTATCAATCTTCTGCGCATGCGGAGTTTAAGTTTCGCACCACTTTAGTACATGTGCGCATGAGCAGAAGATCGTTAGTGCTGTCCGCTATGGCGTTATTTGCTAGCAGCAAGGGTTACTGGCTACCAGTGTATCGAGTTGAGCCTGTATCTTAAGTAAGCCCTCAGTCTCGTGTCGTCTTTCTCGCAAACGAGAGCGAGAGGGAATATGCGGCATTTGTCCCCATTGCTCTTGCTCTCCCTTTCTTTTCTGTCTCGGTTGTTATGTAGGCTTCTTTTGTGTTTCCCTGGGATTTGCGGGCCTTCCGCGACGCCACCGCCCGTCCCGTCCCTCGTTCAATCTGGGCCAGAGCAATAGTACAAGGACGACAGAAACGCCTAACACTAATAACAATTCTCACAGCCTTCTGCGAGCGCGCATTTCTCCTCGCACTACAAAATTATGTTGACGCACTGCAAACCATGTTGGTAATGTTCAGTAGTTTGTCCAAGTTACAAGCGGCACGGATACGAGAAATTAAGTAT